CGAGACCAAACTAGACTTAAACAGACCAGAAAATTTCAGTCCAATTAAAAACATCATTATTTAATATTTTTTTGTATTCCTTTCTCCAGCAATTTCCGGAAACCAAACATACCCATAGTGTTAAAAAATCACTATCCAAGGAGAATTATGGAGATCAAAAGATCATAGCTTCCAAAAAAGGAAAAGTTTCTCAAGACTGTGAAGGTGGTGCACCAGATGACAGGAAGCGTAGTTTTCATGCACAGGTTGGTTCTCATGTTAATCACATAGCTTGCTGTCCAAATAAACTTTATTTAGATAACAAATACTTCTTGATATATATGCAGAATATTAAACCTATTTCCAAAAAAAATCGTTAGTCCCCTTTCCGTAGCATTTTCCAGGAATAAAACATACTCTAATTTTTCAGAAAACACTATCCAAGGTAATGCCTGGAGAGAAAACTATCATAGCTTCCCGGAAGAGAAAAGTCCCACACGATGGAGAAGGTGGTTTAATAGATAAGTTGTGCGCTTTAAATGATGGGAGCCATAGTTCGCATCCACGGGATGATGATGTGGTAGATGCTAGTCATGTTGAATCGAGCATGAAAGCTGATCTTCATTCTGTAGACCTTGGGGTGGACATAACTCCTCCTACGAAGAAGCATTCTAAGCAATCGGAGAAGAAGGAACTGCAATCTGAATCTAAATCAAATGGAATTCATATGCCATGTTTCACTGATGAAAACAATCAGGAACCAATCAGTCAAGTTTCTTCTTCAAGAAAGGAAAATGAACAAAAGACCGACAGGTCATCAGCCAAGGGTGGTTCGTGGATGCAAACGTGCTCATGGACACAGCTGGTTGGTGGTGATACGAGAAACAGTTCTTTTAGCATTTCTCAAATTTTGCCTGGTTTGCACTCTGAGAAGGGACCAGACTTGTCCTCAAAATTAGGGGTGGGAAGTATAGTTGATCATCTAACAGTTGCTGGAAGTTCTATGCAGTGTGCTTCAAAGGAAAGAAAAAACGATGTCCATGTGACAGCCAAGCTAGACAATTACAAGCAAAATGAAGCGAATGATGAAGAGAAGAAAGGCATGCGGACCATGAAACAAGCACCACAGCCGGACATTGGGAAAATGTGTACTTTTACAAGAAATGCCACATCCATGAAAGTATGGAAGAATGCAAAGGCAGCTTTGAGTGGCCCACTAAAAAAGAACTTGTAGCAGCACATCCAAATAGTCGATGCTTAAGTGGTGATACTATTTTTGGTTCTTTTTCTGAGTTTTTTCTCTTACTCTAAGCATGTGTTAACCACCAATAGATCCTGTATGATTAAAGGATTACGTCAACCAGACTAAAGGTTTGTAACATTTTAAGGCCGCTGCAAGTGGACAATAATAGAAAGAACAAAAAAAAGGTGTATACAATATTGCGAATTTTTTAGTTGAGTTTTTATCTCTTGAAGACCCGAAGGATATCTGTAATTATTTACCATTAAATTATCAAGAAAACCTTGGGATGGAAAATGTGCCAATGGAGGTGGATAGTGGTTGGACTCGGGCCGGGTGGCCCGGCCCGGTACTGTTAGGCCCGACCCGACCCGGTGGCCCGGCCAGGGACCGGCCCGGGGGGTTTTCCGGTGCGGGCTCGGGTCAGGAAAATAAGGAACTGGCCGGGCCGGGCCCGGTTCGGGCCATAATTTTTTTTTCAAAGTTTTTTTGAATTCCCGGGTTGGATTGGGTATTTTGGGCCATTTGGGGGTGGTTTGGGGGGTTGGGGTGAGGTGGGGGGGGGGGTCGGGGGTTAAGTAGAAAAAGGAAAAAAAAAAGAATTTGGCTCGAGGCCCTACCCGGCCCGGCCCGAGTCGGGGGTTACCCGGGCCGATTCCGGGCCTACCTCCCAACTTCTAAAGCCCGACCCGGCCTGACCCGGCCCAGGCCTGACCCGGCCCGGGTCCATCACTAGAGATGGAATTAATTTGAAGTAGGGTCAGATGTGCTTAATGCGGTGACGGAAATCCAGAAAGGCGGGAGCAACACAGCAAGCGGCTTATTGGCAGAGGTTATTAGGGATATGACGGCTAATTTTAATAGCATTATTTTTACTCATATTAGGCATTCAGCGAACCGGGTTGCTCACTTGTTGGCTAGAGCGGCCGGTTCTTTGTCTGATGGCCATGTTTGGTTTTCTTACCCACCTAGTTGTATTATGTCTGCTTTGACACCTAGTTGTATTATGTCTGCTTTGGACTATGATCTCATGAATGAAAGCTAAATGTGTTTCTTTCAAAAAAAAAATCAAGAAAACCTCAACGAAATAAAAGGGCTATTGATGCTGGGAAATCCAGAAGTGTTTTCTCGTCATTGTTCTTTCCAGAAGTGTATCAAAATTGGCATGTTTATAAAAATAATAAGTAATTGCTACGCATTGTTTTGGCAGAACATTATTCATCTTGCAATACCTAATGAGACTTGAGTTGTCTGGCACAGAGTCCCTTCATATTCGGAATACTAGGGGTGGGACTTTGGAATCACAAGTGTCTGGCACAGAGTCCCTTCGTTAGAATCAGGTTCGATTCCACACATGAGTTATAAATTGTTAACGGTTCGATTTTTATTTTTTATTAACTGTTCGGTTCCTGATTCCTACAAAAAATATGTCCACAGAACTGTTATTAAAAAATAAAAAATTGAAAATATAACTAGTGATAATAAAAATAACAATAATAATAATATTAACATTAGCAATAGCAATAATTATAGTAACAATAATAATATAATCGATGACATTTAATTACACAACAATTTAAATTTGATTAATGGAAGCGGGTGATGATGAATACATTAACCTCGTTTTTTACAAATCATATTTTATCCCATCACGAAAATTTCATAATTATAAAAGTAAACTAAATTAATTCATGTTGGTTCGATATATTTTTCTTTTTAATATTCAAGATGATTGTAATTGTGAGATTTTAGTGTAAATAATGCTCCTAGAATTTGGAATGTAATGATGTTTATATTTGTACTTGCTTATTCAATACGTTCATTTACATTTTGAGGAACTTGAACTAGGCATGGACTTAGTTCGGGCCACCCGGCCCGAGAACCGGCCCAGCCCGCTACTGTGCGGAACCGGCCCGGACCAGGAAACCGGTTCCGGGCTTAGGCCCCGCCCGAGGGGGTAAACGGGGGCGGTTCCGGGTCACGAAAAAGGCGAATCGGCCCGGCCGGGCCCGGTTCGTTTTTTTTTTTTTTTTGTTTTTTTGTTTTTTTGGGTTTGGGCTGGGTTTAGGTGGGCTGGGTGTTTCCGAGGGGTTTGGGGGTGGGGGATGGGGAGTGGGAGTTGAAATAAATAAGAAAACACAAAAAAAATTGAACTGGAACCGGCTTGACCCAAAACCGACCCGGCCCGGAACCGGTAGGCAGTAGACTCCCGGGCCGGTCCCAGGCCTTACCCAAAACCATCCAAGCCCGATCGGATCCAGGCCCAAACCGGAAACGGGCCCGGTCCATCCCAAAACTTGAACTAGATGTCTTATTCTATTATGACGAGTTGACGACCCAAATTTTATTGATATCAAACAACAACGATTTTCATATTTTATTTACAAACAAAATTAAAAAATTATTTGATTCTATTAAGTGTTGAATAAATTAAATTTGAACTTGATGTTTGAAGTGATAAGAGTTTCAGAAAGTACTTATGTCTTGTGTTTTAAATTTTTACGTTTTAGAAAGTAAATTGTGTAAATTTTTTATGAAAAAACTTACGCATAGGAACTAATAAAAGTAAGAACCGAATTGTTTACTATTGGTTCAATTCCATAACGATTAAAGAAAATTTAGATAGGAACCAAACCGATTTGATTAGTTAAGTTTTTTGTAACGGTTCCACTAATTTCATATAAGAACCGAACCGGTACTAGGCATGGACCGATCCCGGGCCGGACTTTTTGGGTTTGGCTACAAGCCCAGAACCAGCCCTGGATTCCACCAGGTCCGGGCCGGGCCCCGAGCCTGTTCAAATTTTTTTAGCCCAACCCGGGAAAAACAAAAAACATTGAAAAAACAAAACAAAAGGCCTGACTGGGCCGGTACCAAAGGATAGGGTAGCCCGGAACCGCCCCGCCCAACCCCCCGGGCCGGGCCTAGGCCTGGAACTGGTCCCGGTTCACCGGGCCGGGCCCGCACAATGGCGGGCTTGGCCGACCCAAACCAGGCCATCACTAACCGATACCGGGCCTACTGAATACTTTAATGATGCTACCCTTGACTAGGGGTGGATCTGACCCCGGTCCACCATCCCCGAGCCCCCCAGCAATCCAGCACCAACCAGACAATTAACTGGGACTCTGGGAGGATGAGGGTAGTGCTGGACTCGGGCCGATTCGGGCCCGGTTCGGGCCTGGGCCCGGCCGAGCCTCGGGCCAGAAAACTGGGGCCCGAGCACGAACCGCCGGTGGCCGGTTCCGGGCCAAACCGGATCGGGCCGGGCCAAACCGGTCTTTTTTTTTTTTTTTGGTTCTCCTATTTAACCCCCTACCCCTCCCCCTCAACCCCAAACCACCCCAAATGGCCCAAAATACCTAATCCAATCCAAAACTTAAAAAAAAATCAAAAAAAAAAAATCTGGCCCGGACCGGGCCCGAACCGGCCGGGCCGGTTCACCTAAAGCAGGACCCGAGCCCGGACCGCCCATCACCCGGGCCGGGCCAAACCGAACCGACGGACCCACCGGGCCCCGGGCCGGGCCAGGCCAAACAGTAACCGGGCCGGGCCGGTTCCGGGTCGGGCCGCCCGGCCCGAGTCCACCCCTAGATGAGAGGATCACAATTTGTTTCCCAGCTTAGTTCTAGTCTTCTAGACCGGTTCAGCCTAGTTAATAATACCAGGTTTTAGCCTCTGATTAAAAGAGCAGTTTTTTTGCCTCATTAAAATCAACATAACCAGTCCAGGCTGGAGACTGGGACGGCTTGTCAATCTCGGTACAGTTCTAGATCGTTGCTTAGTTAAGTAAATGGGGTGTTCTCAGAATACCAATTCAACAAACACCAAAATTAGTCAAATGTCCATAAAGTAATTTTGCCACAATAACAATGTAAAAGCTCCCAGTCTAGTGGGAATATAACTTACAGGGTTTTAAATTATATTGAGAAATCAAAATGGCAATGTCTTTTTTCAGAAAAAGAAAAAGAAAAAAGAAACTGCTGGTACATGCTAAGGTAGATGAACATTTGAATTCCTTAGTTTTTTTGCTTAAGTTCCTGCTCAAACTGAAGTAATTTTTCACGGAGAGGTTGCAGAAACTGTTCAAAATTGTGCCTGATTTGCTGCTTATCTTTGTGCTCAAGATCCTTGTCTTCATTTAGTCTAACCTTGATCTGAAGAAAAGAACAAATTATATTTCCCAGGAGAGATTGGAGATGCATCTCTAAACATGATCATTACACAAACATATATTCCCAGATATAACACTTTCCTTTTCTCAAATACCAATAGTACAATTTATCGAGGATCTAGGGCAATAAAATTGAATGTTAACTATGCTTGCTGACTAAAAATATACCTGCAAGCGATCCAGTTCACCAAATGAAAACTCTTGTACATCTATATGACCTTTGACCACCTTCCTCTCAGCTCCAACAAGCCACTCCCCTGTGTTTCAATAACATCCAGTTAGGACAAATCACACAGAAGTATGAGTTGGAGTAAACAAATAATCCTTTTTAATAAAGGAGCTAGGATAACAGAAGCTGGCAACAACAATGAGATGAAAAGTTACCCTTCACCCCTAGTGTTAGCTCATAAGTGTAGCCAACACGCTTTCTGTTACGTACAGTCACCAAGAATGCCTGTAAAAATTAAAGAGAATGTAATGTCTGAAGAAAATATACTAAAAGGTTAACAAACAAGTAAAGCTGCACAAATATAATGGCATTACAAATTTTTAAAGCACTCACATCTCCACTACATTTTGTTACTTCGGTTATTTCAGCATTGCCTCCACACATTTCCAGAGACCCCATGGACTCCAGCAATTCCTGCAGTCAAGAGACAAATCATGAAGTATTTTACCTCATTTGTACTTGTAGTACACATTGCCACTAATCTCTCTTTGAAAAAGTGTATATGTAATCAAAGAAGATCAAACAAGACACAACATAATGGATTTCTTCTGTTTTCTTTATTTACTTTCCTCTATATCTTGGTTTAAAAAAGCGTGCCTCAGGCGCTAGGCGTCCTAAGGCGATTACTTCATCGCATCTTATACGGCACTTTTTGACACCTTTTGCAAGAGGAGCGCCTTATACGGCACTTTTTGACACCTTTTGCGAGTCTGAGAAGCGCGCGCTTCTCACGCCTCATGGATTTCTCTTTTGGCGGTTGAGTCTCTCTAGTCTTCTCCCTTCTGCGTTTTCTTTGCTTCCTTGTTCCTACATCTGCGGTCCTGTTTCTTGCTCGCGTAGCAGGACTCGCACGCAAGTCTGTTTCTTCAGCTACTTTCCCGCGTAGCAGGACTCGCAGAGTAGTCGCAGGTAGGTATTTATTTCTTCTCTTCTACTGTGTGTTCTCTTATGCGTGTGATACTTTATTAATTATGTATTATTTAATATTTTATTACCTTGAATTTGTAGTGTTACTACCTCTGTCGGTCTGTTCTAGATCATGTTGAGTAGGGTACCTAAATATTTGATTTTATTTAACACTTATATAAAACAATTTTTATTATTAACAATTTTTTATATAAGAGCTTATCAATTATGTTTTGAAGTTTTAAGATTGAGTTTTGTGACTTGACATTTGGCAATGAATCAATGATGCTGTTTGATATGTATTTCTTGCTGCTGTCTTGATAAATATTTGGTTTCTCTTATGATGTTTGATAAGATTGTTTAATAGTTTGAAGTATTTTAGTGATGTTATCACTTTTTGAGATGAGTGCTTCATGTAGAAGACTAGAAATAGTAGGATATGATGTTAAGATCTGTGAGGCGCGCGCCTCGTCGCCTTGCGCCTCGGGTAAATCAATGAAAACGCCTCGTGCCGCCTTGCGCCTTTTAAAACTAAGCTCTATATATCTCTGAATTTCATTAATATAATGGCACTGTCTAAGTCTCCTATTATATACAACCATTGTCCCATTTTGAGAGACACACTTTCCTTAAGGTTGTCCCAAAGTAAGAACACTTGTTAAAATTGAACACTATTAACTTTTTACTTCCTCACTTTATCCCTCTACCTGCCATTGCATCTTTTACTTCCATATGGACCCAGAGTACTTTTTATTACTTTTAGAAGGTTATAATTTTAAAACAACTACTTCACCCTTTGTTTTCTTGAAAACCATGCCAAACCCAAGTGCACCTTACATTATGGGACGGAGGGAGTTATTAACATGCTCAATATAACAATACGAGAAGAAACCCTTTCTTAATGCTTTTTTTAAAGCACGTTTTATGTCTATGTGAGCATCTAAGAAACAAAACACCTAATTATATTCTAGCGAGAACCCAAGTACTTTACTATCATAGCTTTTGACTTCTACTGTCCTAAATCTCTGTCTGCATGTTTAAGGCATGTTATTCAACATTACAGAGTATGTAACGTAAGGGGCTGTCCAATTTGAAGCCCTTTTCAAGTCAAAAAGATAATTGCTATACTGTAGCTTTGTACAAAAATGGTCCACCACATAAATAGTGTAGTTTATGAACAAAGACTTCACTCAATACATACATTACATAGGTGAACAAACTAGAATTTAAAGGTGTAGCTAAATTCTATGATAGTATCACAAGATTAATTTCTTAGTTCTAATCATAAAAAGGTGCATATTTGTCACTTTGTTGCAAGAGAGTAACAGCAAACCACAATACTACAATATAGTAGACCAATGTAATAAGATTAACTTCTAATCTTAAAGTTACATACATTTCACTTTGTTGAAAGACTAAGTGCAAGCAAAATTCTATAAACAGCAAACTTAAACAAAGATCAAATCCATAGAAAGGGCCGAATCACAGCATTTCTCAAACAAAAAATGAGAAAAGTAGAGTAATGGTATCTTTAAAGGTGAAACAAAAGTCGAACCTTAATTCTATTATCAGCCCATTTATCTAGACTCTTTTCCTCCCAAGTTCCAGCCTGCAAGAACAAAGAAAGCAGAAGTGAAAATGCAAAAGATACCAAGTACTTGAGCACACCAGGGAATAGGCTTAGAATCACATTATATGGTTTAGGTATTTGTGGGTGGGAGTAGGGAAACCGGTCACTGTAGAGAATCATTATGAAAGCAGAAACAGATAGCCCTACACAGCCTTGGTGGAACGATTCCCACATTGATAGCACTTCAAGATTCTCGTTTCCCATCCATGTCACATATTCATTCTAACATTGAAAATTGAGCAAAGATGACAAATATACACCCAAAGCAAGTAAATAAAATAAGTGTTTGAAGATTCATGAGTTCTCTCTAACAGATCTAAAATTTTAGGTTAATTTACATCGAAGGTGGAATAAAGTTCTCTCTTCATCACGAACACTTCAAGTTACTGATGAGTGATGACTATGCTTGAAAATGGACAGCCCCCAACAGCAACTGGTATTATTTATTCAACAGCTAACAGTTACATAGATCCAGCTAAAATAGCCGTCAATCCAAAAATGTAAAATAACTCGGCAAAGAAGGGAGCAAAAGACTATTTTTCTTAACAAAAAAACAGATATGGACGGGAACGAGCTACCGAATTCCAAGCGGAGCCAAGCCGGGCAGGGTTTTCGTTGTTAGGTTGGTAATCAGGGTTGAGCTTCCGGGGAACGGGAAGGGGTGCGGCGTCTGATGTCTTTTCCCTAACCCAGTAGGTATATGACGCCGCCGCCGGATCCTTGGGCTTTCCCTCGGCGGCAGCTCCACCCCCTTCCATTTCTATTGCGGAGTACAACTGTGGATCGAATAACCACAGATATTAAATATCGGTCTTGATTGATGAAGAGAGGAGTGACAATAATGGATCCCAATTGCACAGCAGAAAAGATATTTAAAACGATCACAATGCAGTATCAATGGTGTATCAATGGCGAAAATGAATTCACAGTTCTCTGCTGTATATAATTACGGGCCGTTAGGGTTCTTCTCTCGGACCTTGCTTCCGGAAGCTTCGGTTGAGTTGTAAACTGCAGATTAATGCGGCTCGGATCTGGCCGGTCAAACAAAAGGTGGATCGCTTGTGGGTCCACTTGACTTCTCATTTCATTTTAGTCGTACTTCATGTTGCCACGCAGATAATAATAAAAATGATGAATGTGTTGTGAAATGACGTTTTCATTTTAGTCTTACTTAGAAAAAGTGTCACAAAATTACATCTATTCTCTGTGATTTGACGTTTTCAACGTGAATAGAGCATTTTTAGCGTAAGTACAGTCTTCGATTTGAAATTTGGTTCATAAGGTAAATCATCACTTAATATTTTGAAACTAGCGCCTGAAGACGAGTTTTAGAACTCGATAAGATCTTTCCATCGAGATAGAAAACACTTTAAACGTAAATGACCAGTATGCTCATTACTTATTAAACCCTAAACCTATCCTCCCGCTTCATCGTTCTCCATCATCGCATTTCTTACGTGTTTCAGCTGCATCACCGACCATGATCGTCGTCACCAATAACCAAGAGCCGCCACCTTCTGCTGTGGTCTTTCATCGCGCACCAATCGCTGCCCCCCGCCTTCACGTCGCCACCTGCTGCTCTTATTCTCCCTTTTCTTCATTTCTGTTTGATGTAAGGCGAAGAAGATGGCGATGAAGAGGACCGTAGGCGAAGAAGAACACTGCGACTTCCAATCGCCGATGATTTTGGAGCCGCTGCATCTGGGAAAGTGATGATAGGGTTTGGGAGGGTTGATTGGGCCGTGGGGATTATGGTGAATAGGGTTTCTATGCGACGTTAGTTGGATCTTATTTTGGAGCCTTGAGTTTGCAGAGTTGATTGGGTGACGGGTAGGGTTACAGGCGGCGGCAAGGGTGTAAAGGTGGGGGTGGCACAAGGGCGGGTGGATTGTTCTGGGCAGTGATGGACGACGGGGATTGGTAGGAATGGTGAAGGGGTTGTGTAGTGACAGATCTGGTGTGGCAAGGGGTGACGATCAAAGTGTGTCACTATATCACTGTGGCCGTCTACCGGTAGCGGTCATCAGTCGGAGGTGGTAGTTGTGGATGTCACTATTTCTGTGTCACCGTAGCATGTCATATCATTGTAGTTGGCGGTGGCGGCTGTGGAGTTGCCACTAAGGAGATGTCACTGTGACATGCGATGGTGGTGGCCGAACAACGGAGATGTCACTGCAAAGATGTCACTGTGGTCAGAGGTTGGGGTAGAGATATCATTGCGCAGGTGTCATTGAGTTCGGTGGCGGCGACAATGACACTGGTGATGACGGCGTGACATTCGATAGTGACATGAGTTTTTGGACTCACTTCATATTTTTACAAATAGGAAAAATTGATGGTAATAATCTCAACTATTGGCGGTCCGCTCATAATAATCCCAACTTTAGGGACCTTCCACCAATAATGGTCCCTATAAATAAATTCTTGTTGTTTCTAAAGTGGATGAGATGAAATATAGCAAATAATCCCTATAAATAATGCCAACTTTTAATTTTTATGCTTAATTTCTATTTAAAATTCACTTGGTATAGGAGGTAATACTTGGTCATGGACCATTATTGGCGGACGGTATATATAGTTGGGATTATACAAAAATAATCAATAGTTGGGATTATTGTCAGCGGACCGGCAATAGTTGAGATTATTATTTTCAATTTTTCCTTACAAATATATAACCATCTTAGTCACATTTTTGTCCAAATACAAATGTAGTCATATTTTTGGAAATTAATTTTAGTTTAGTAATATTCAGGGAAAACCCACCAAATTATAAACCTCATCCGCATATATTTCTAAATCCTTTTAGAGAAGAAATAATTTAATTGCCTAAAGGGTGTAAGGTATATGTGATACTAGTTTTAAGTTTTAACCCCTTGTATATGTAATATCAGTTTTGTGGCGCGCGTTGCATGATTAGCTAAATGTCCAAACTTTTTCTATTTAATGTAAACATTAGATCATATTCTTGGTTACGTTGGTGAAAATGATAAGAGGGATTGGATGTAGAATTAATTCGTGTAGTTTACAACAACAACATCCAAGCTTTAGTCCCAAAAGATATTGGGGTCCGCTAACATGAATCGATACATGATATCACCACCAAAAGGAAAAGAAAGAAAGATAAAAAGATAAGCTATTATGAAAAAGATAATATAAAAAGAAATGAATATACCTAAAACTGATAAAATAAAAAGGATAAAAATAATGTTTATATATATAAGGATAACAGGATAAAAAAAACAAGGAAAAAGTGATGGGGAAAGAAAATACGAGATCACTCCTCCACACGAATACTCGCTCTCCACTTTGCTCTCTCCAAAGTCATATCCTCATCTAACCCAAGAAGAATCATATCACTTCGGACTCCCCTAACTCACATCTGTTTGGGCCTTCCTCTCTCCCTCTTCCATGTCTCTTCTACACACATCTCAACTCGTCTGACAAGTGCATCACTTGGTCTTCTACGCACATGACCAAACCATCAGATGGAAAGTCTACCCGGGGGGTATCTTATCCGAGGGGTTCTTGCGGGAATAACTAGAGAGAAGTCAGAGTAAATAGGAGGAGAGAGAGTCGATTTTATTAAATGAACTCAGCGTGGTTTACAAGGAGAACAAGGGCCGCTATTTATAGCAGCAATAAATGCGATGAGTGTACACGTGTCAGTAATCCGACGGCCGAGGGGTCACATCAGCCGGGGTGGCACCGGCAGTAGTACGTCCACCGCATTGAATGCGGTTGGCGGATGTGACGTGGCATTAAATGCGGTGGTTGGCTGTCTCCAAAACGAATCTTCGATGATCAAGCACGTTTGGCCGAAGGCTCCTTGTGTAGCCGAGGGCTCCATGTGACCTTGGACCCTTGTGTAGCCGAAGGCCCTATGTGACCGAGGGCTCGGTAATGCCGAAGGCTCATGTTTTCCGCCGTTTTCTCCCAGTAGCTTCTTCTTTCAGAGAAGGCTATCCCGTGAGTTTTTGCGCCTTCGGCCAAGGAGGCCGAAGGCACCCCAGTGTGTAACCTGAGCTACTTTGAGGCTTGGGCCGCCGCATTCGGGCCTGAGTTGTTCTCTGGGCCCAATGGACTTGTGCAGAAGAAGTAGGAGTCTATGGGCCGGGGGTTTCTGGACCATATACTCCATCAGGAGTCCCTCACTCCTTTTGCCGAAAGGTACTTGAGGGAAAAGGAGTAGTTGCGTTGATGCGTTGACCTTTGCTGGAGGCTTCACGTTCTGCCGGAGAGTTTTCCTGATGTTTGCCGAGGGCTCTGCATCAGTCCTTCACATGTCGAGGGTTTTCTGAGGGGAGCATAAATGCATGGTATGCACGTGTTGTGGTGAAGGTTGCTTCATTGCCACGAGTGACTCGTGGGACATTTTTTGATTTTAAGCCTTTGCCGAAGGGTGTAATGATGTACATAGCCGAGGGGTTCTCCCCTGATGGTTGCTCGAAGGCACACATGTGTCGCTTGTGAATTCTTCATGCGAAAATTTTGTTCTGTGTGTTCCCCGAGGGGTATCCCCCAGTCAACCACTCATTCAGGCCGAAGGCAAGTTCGGGCTGAAGGAGTTGTGATGTTTGCGCGTAACCCCGAGGGGTGTTATTGCTGGGGGCTTAGACTTATATGTCCGAGGGCACTTGGCCAAGTTGTTAACCGAAGGTTTGGTGAGTGGTAGCCGGAGGCAATCATCTGAGGTTGCCTCAATGTCTCCTGAAATAGAGCCATTGGAAAATAGCCGTTGGAAGAGGGGGACACGTGGCGTGCGCTCGTTGGTTAAAAAAGGGGCGGGAGTCACCCATTGGTTGAACCGGCGGCCCGTAATGATGGGCTTTCGAGTCGAGGCCCAGTTCTCGAGGCCCAGTTGCCTATAAATACCCCAAGGCGGAGCTTAATTCGTTTGCGCATTCAATCTCTCTAGCGAAGCTCTGCCCAAATTTCTAGTGAGAGAAACTTCAGCCCTCGACCGAAATCCTCCCCTAAGGTCAGTGCATCCTCCTGCTACTCGCGTACTTAGCGTTTTCTGCTATTCCCTTAGATTTAGTGTTAGTGCATTCATAGGAGCCTTCGGCAAAAGTCTCTCCCTTTTGAGAACATGTCCTCCGAGAGTGATTCGCAGAATATTTCGAGGGCGCCTTCGGTACAAGATGAGAGCATTTCGGAGGTGGAGTCCTCGACTGGACAGTAATCGGCTGGCGACGATGCCGCGGTAGCCGAGGAGGTGCAAAGTAATCTCCGGACCGAGCTGGAAGCGGAAGAATTCGAGCAAGTGGTGGAAGATGAAGAGCTTGCTCTCGCGCTTCAAGTAGCCGAGGAAGAGGAGGAGAAAGAACGGGTGAAGGTGACCGTCGCCGGACTCCCCCTTCGTGGTGCCGGCGAAGCTAGTAGCTCCCGGCCCCTAGATCCGGAACCCATCAGCGTCGCCCTAGGAAAGCGGAAGAAAAAGACGGGGGCCGGCCCGAAGAAGAAGAAGGAGGCCGTAGTGGATGCGGGAAAACCCGTCGACATCCCCGAGGGCTATTCTTACCTGAACGTTGCTGCCCTAGCTTTGAAATCGAGGGCCCTCCAATCGGAGTATCTGACGGCTCAGTTCCTCGTCGGACCCCAGGCGCGTGTCATAGAGCCGAAGCCCGACGATATCCTCTCGCAAGCTCCCGAAGGCTGCTTTGCGGTTCACCTGCTGTCCCTGGAACTGGGCCTCCACTTTCCCCTTCACCCCTTTCTGCTGGAGTACTTGAGGTTCGTGAAGTTGGTCCCTTGTCAGCTCACCCCCAACAGTCACTCCTATATTGCTGGTTTCCTGTCACTCTGCCGCTCTCGGAAGGTCGATCCCTCGTTGGATCTGTTTTTCTATGCTTCAATTTATGCCGAGGGGGGCACACTCATGCCGAGGGGTTTGCCAATCTACAACAAGTACCGGAGTGGAGGCTTTTCTCCGAGGTCCCCTCTTCGCACAAGGGGTGGAAAGACAAATTTTGTTACATCCGTATGGCAGCGAATCCTTTCCCGGAGCCTCCCAAAGATCGCTTCCGGAGGCATTTGAAAGTGGGG